CCAACCAGCTCTCTAATGCACTTTGTTTGGAGACAATCCAACGGTTAGATCTTCAGATACTCTCGATGCAAGAATGATAGAATATGCAGTTCCGGAAGAGAGCATGTGCCGGGACCGCGGCCAACACCCATTTTCCCGCGGGTAGAGCCACTCGACCGCGGACTTTGGTCGTTCACTTTCCAGACGACTTAATTAAAGCCCAGATCAATTCCTTTCATTATTTTTGAAGCCCTAAGTGTCCAGGACCACCCCAGAAGCTATAAATACCCCCATTTACGTCATTCCTAAAGGTGTGTTCTTTTCTGTACTTAAATTTTCGTGTGAGACTCAAACCCTAGAGAGGGAGGCCGCCGGTTTTGAAGGAGGAGCCGCCACTGGAGGAAGACATCGCGCCTCCATCTGCTTCTCCGTTCTTCGTTCTTCTTCCTTCTGTTCTTTAATTTCATGCACTTTCAATACTCTATGATGCTTTGTTACAATATGTTTGAGTAGTTACCCAGTTGGGTTTAAAGGGATTGTTCAAAGGGAATTTCATGTGTCTTTGCTTATGAATCGATAGATTTAGGATTATTAATCTTCTAGATGTTCTTCGTTTGCCTTTAATCTTACTGCGTGATTCTCTGCTGGCCACTTAGAAGCCGATCTGATATGATATGTTGCGAAAGCTTTCATTGATTGTCTGAACTAGGGTGAAACGAGCAATTCTTCTATAGGAGTGGAAACCTACCTGTAGTTGAGTTGTGAATATTGATGAGTATTGTTCTGCTATTGCATCTTCTCCCTTCCAGGATCGGAGTGGAAACCTACTGATCAAGGTTGCGAGAGATGTTGTTTAGTGCTGCGAAAGTAGGCTATTCATACTTCCGTGCCTCGAGTTCTAGATCATACGTAGTTGATTACCTTTATCATATGTTTAAAATCGACATAGCCTATACCATGAACCCCTGCGAAACCCCTTGAGCCCCAACGTTTGTTTTTAATTGTTTACAGCCTTCTAGTTTCAATCGATTTTTACCTTCAATTCTATTTGCTTTCCATTCGCTTGTTCTAGTTTAATCGCTTTTTAGTTGCTTTACTTGCTTTCGTTTTTGTCAATTGCTTTTTAGATTTTAATTGCTTTCTAGTTTAGATTTAGTGACAACCAAACCCAAAACCAAAACCGAAACCTTTTAGTTCTAAGCGTTGCATTGAATTTGTACTGAAACAACTAATTCTCTGTGGATCGATACCCTAAGTACTACAGCGCACATCTGTGCACTTGCAGACATTTAGGGGTTATAAATTTAAAACCTGAAGCTTAGTAAAACGAAAATAACAAAACCCCGTTTACAACCGCAATCAGGCTGCCTCCCCCTCAGTTTGATCAGTGTCCTCAATGATCACATTGTGGTTCTCAATACCAGGTAACTCCTTTCCACTCCTCAGTGTGATGGCCTTAGCATATTCCATGGGGTTGGGTTCTGGTTTTCCAGGTAGGTGACCTTGGTTCCTTGAGCTTGATGCCTAGTTTTGCTTCAGTTCCTTGATTTCCTGCTGCATGGCTGCATTTTGGCTTGCAAATATCTGTTGGCCCTAAAGTAGTTGTTGCAGAATACCAACCATATCTGACCGCTTCTGTGGCTGCTGAACCGTTGGTGGCTGAAACTGTTGTTGAACCGGCGCGTGCTGTTGGAACTGTGGTGGACCAAACCCTGGTGGTGCCTTTTGCTGCTGTGAACTGAAACTAGGACCTTGAAATGGTTGCTGTTGCTGACCAAAACCCTGATTCTGAGAAAACTGATTCTTAGGTTGAAAAGTTCCTTGAAATTTGTTTTTGGGAACAAAGTTCTGTGGAGCTTGAGGATTGGGATAGACCTGGTCTTGTGGGTTTGCTACATTGGGGTTCCTGTAAGAAAGGTTCTGATTGGCATTACCATACTGATATCTCTGGAACCTCTGATTCCCAATGTAGTTAAGCTCCTCCTGGGTTAGACTTTCTTCACTTATGTTCTCAAAGATTTGAGAAGGTTCTTCATACTCTCCTACAAAATGCATTGGCTTCTAAGTGGTGAATTTCAACTAGTCCAATTCACTCCTCAACTCCTGAACTTCCCTGATATATTCATAAATTGCATCATTATGTGTACATATTTTAGTCCAAATCATGTCTTATCTCATGCATTTTAGGTCTTTAAGCATTGTTTTAGGACTTAGGAGATTACATTAGGTCCAAGAGAGTTTTGCATGTTTTGGAGTGTTAAACAGTGCTTTTGGAGCCAATTTGGAGTGGAGGATGTGATTCAGATGAAGAAATGGAGTTGGAATGATCAAAAATGGTAAAAAGGAGCAATTTTGGGTTTCTCGGCAAAATGCTGTACTGAAAGTCGAAGATCCTCGGCCAAAATCCTTCCCGCGGGTAGCTTTCTCGGCCAAAAACACGTACCGCGGTCAAGTCTCTCGGCCAAAAATCTCGGGTGCAGATACATTTCCGAAATCGCGTCACCGGAAGATCTTGCCGGCCGATTCAGCTGTCGGAGTCTTCATAAAAGTTGGAGATAAATGAGTCAAGAGTTCAGAACAGTTGGAATCAAAGCATTTGGCCCACGTATCTGAAAGATATGGTAATCTGAAGACAGACCTCTCTCGCATCCATTCCGGAGCAATCCGATACTCCTGAATGATCGCCTGTCCGGGGAACCTTCCGGTCCGATTCAGTTGTCGGGGGCTTCATCAAAGTTGGAGACGATTAGATCATGGTTCCATAGCAAGTGGAATAATGGAATTCGGACGCGTGAGCAGAAAGTTGAGCTCGTCGGAAGAAACCCCTGTCTCGCTGCCGTCTTGGACCGACCCGATGAGCTCCGAAGAATGCAAAGGACGGCGCACTTCCAGGCAGATTCAGTTTCCGGGGTCTTCATAAGAATCAGAGATATTTGAGTCCTCTTTCCAGAACGTCCGAGATAATTCAATTCGGATCTATGAGCAAGAAGTTACCGTTTCCGGAATGGACACATGTCTAGACGCCTCTCTCTGATCGTGTAAATGCACTGCGGAGATGAGCCCTCCAGGAAGCCTTCCACTTCCCAAGCGCCGATAGTTTCTTCACCAAAGATTGAGCTGAATGAGTTATATTTCTCATGGAACTGGTTTTAGGTCATTTGGAGTTATGAGCTGAAAGTTACACTGAACAGAAGAGAAGCTGGTCAATTCGGGTTTTAAGAGATGCGACTGTAAGCTAAGTGTTGTGTCCTACCTCGGCGTGAATACCTCGGCATGTATGCCGAGGAGGCATTTTTACGAAGCCTTGGGACTATACCTCGAGGTAGGACATCGTTCTTTCAACACCAAGGCTCCCTTGATCACCAAAATGATCACAAAACGACTAAGTGTTGAAGCAGACCTTGGCGTGAACCCTTCAGCATGTTATGCCGAGCTCCTATGTTACACAAACCTCGGCTACCCAGCCCCTCGGCATGTTATGCCGAGGTCCTCATCTCTCCAACCCAGATCACAAACAAACCCTCTTCACGTTTCAAAGCTTTAACCGGATCAAAGGCCAAGTCTCATGCATGTTCTTCAAGTGTTCATCAAAGTTTCAACCCAGCACATGACCCCCTGGTGTATGGCCCTCGGTGTGAGACTTCTTCAGATGGCGAGGGGTGGCTCCAGCAACCCAGAAAGGGCGGGTCAGTACCCAGTTTGTCCTGGGCTGACCCGGCCCACACCCTTTTATATAAATAGTTTTTAGAGACTAAAACCCTAGTTATCCATTATCTTATCCTTTATCTTAGTTTCTCTTTGGTTTCTCTTTCCTTATCTGTGTAAAACCGACGTGATTAAGAGATATCTAAGAGATTTCATTATCTTAAAGCTGTTTCTTATCATTTCATCATCCGATCTCAGCTTCTAATCATGATTAACATCACCTCTTGCAAAGGAAATGGTGTGTTAATCATGATTAGTGAGTAGTTATCTTTTAAGCTTCTAGGTGTGTAGATTAGGGTGCTTAGATGATCGGTTTATGATGTTTAGGTTCTAGATTCTCATCTCCTTTCCTTAGTTAGCTGCTCTTAATGCTAGATCTTTGCACATCACTCTGATCTAGACCTTAGTCATTTCTCCACCCACAAGGTGTTTGATGAAATGTCTGAATGAGCTAGGCTAAGGGTTTATGCCTTTTTCATCATGGGAATGATTTGTTAAATGCATGAATGACATATTAGAACTGTTTCTTAATGCTCACTGATTCATATTTCACAAATGATGATTTGGTTTGAAAGTGGATTAAGGTAGAGATTAATGCCTTCATGAGAGGATTAGTCTAGATTTGAGTTTTAAGTTAATTGGTTTTGAGATCATGTGATTGCTTGTTGCTGCTTTCTGTGTAAGATTCGGTCTCTTTGAAATAGAAACCGTTTGGTCATTATTAGATTTGATACTTTATGCTTGTTGATTGCTTGATCTTGCTTAAGGTGAATTAATCTTGATTAAGTGATTTACAAAGAGATTATTGTCATGGGAATGAATTAATCTGCTTTTGAAGTCTAGACTAAAGAGTAACTTGCATTGCATTATTGTTCTTAGCATCATGAATAAATCTCTAAAGCACCCTAATCAATGATCACATCTAGAGGTTTAGCTTTCTCTTTGTTTTGAATCTGAGTCTTTGTTTTGTTGTCTTGTTGCTTGTTCTTAAATTACTGCTTGTTTTTTGTTTGTTTTATGTTTTAGATCACCTTGTTACCAATTCATCTGCTTGTTAGACTTGAATTAAGATAGCTCCTCATAGTTCTAGTGTCTAGAATCTCTCCATTTGGATTGATACCTCAAGTGCTACAATGACATGAGTAGTTGAGGAATTGATCAAGGATTGAAAAATTCCTGCTGCCAATTTGGCGCCGTTGCCAATTGGAGAGTTCATTCTAGCATTAGAACTTTGGATCTTCTTGAGATCAAGTCATTGTTTTCTTTTGTTTTACTAAGCTTTTATTTTCACCATGTTAATGTATATCACTAAGAGCATGCATCTCTTTGAGATGATGAATTTTCTCTTTTTCATTGTTACTAACTTGTCTTCCTTGATTCTCTTGAGCTTTGAAAGGTACCAAATTCACAAGAAGAGAAATGGAAAGACACGTTCTATTGAGCTGTTGGAGATGGACGTCCACAAGAGCATTATTCCAGTCCCAAAACCGCAACAACAGCCACAACCTCCAGCACTGACCCAAGCTCCAAAGAAAACGCCAACAGTTGGAAGCTGTGACACTCCTTGTAGTCATGGAAAGAGGTATGGCATCCACCCTCCTCCAATTGAAGCTGCGGCCTATGAGATCAAAGCAAGCTTGGTTAAGTTGATTCAAGAAACTAAGTTCTTGGGGTCTGGTATGGAGAATCCATATGATCATTTGGACTGCTTTGAGAGGTTGTGTGACACATTTAGGACTGGAGGAGTGCCCCACGACAGTATCAAGCTCATCTTGTTTCCATTTTCACTTGGAGAAAAGGCAAGCAAATGGGAGAGAGCATTACCATCCCACTTGGTAAATTCTTGGTATGATTGCAAGATGATCTTCCTCCAAAGGTTTTATCCCATACAAAGGACTATCCAAGCTAGGAAAGACATCTTGGGCTTCAAACAAAGAATCCATGAGACCTTTGATGAAGCATGGGAGAGACTTAAAGGCTACACTAGAGATTGTCCCCATCATGGGTTCCAACAAGAAGCTATTCTTAGTATCTTCTATTGGGGAGTTGATAGAGAGCATAAATGGACATTGGATGCAGCTAGCAATGGGCGTTTTGCGACTCTTACCATAGAACAAGGAGAGTTACTTGTTGAGAATTTGGCCAAGAGCAATGAAAGATATAAAGAGCTTGATACTGAATATTGTCAAGATGGTAAAACTGAGGTGGAGCTTCGTTTTCAGCAAGAGTCTGTTCCACAAGAGCAAGCTGCTTCAAAGACTCAAGAAATGGAGCTGAACAGCATGTTCCAACAACTTCTGAAGGGACAAGATGAGCTCACAACAAGAGTAAAGCGTTCATACAATGATCTCCACAACAAAATAGAGAGTTTAACCTCTCAAGTGAATCACATGGAGAGCAAAGATCATGAAGCTGCTGTAAAGGAGATAGAACGTGTACTCTTTTGTCCACAAGAAGACATTGCTCTTAGAGTTCTTTCTTCACAAGACAATGAGGACATTGAGCAACTCAGTGGAGAGGTGACCCTTGGAACTGAAGTTTTCGCTATAAAAGACATCCATGGAGCTTCTAGAGACAAAGTTCAGATTACTGCTGAAGAAAAGGCCGAACAACAGCTTCAGAAAGAAGAAAAAGCTATTGAACCGCCAGCTTATGTGTCTGTAAGTCTCTGTGATGAGTTTCAAAACTTTGAGATGACGTATGTGGGGACTTGTGGAATGAAAGAGAAGGATCAGCCGTTTGCTGCTTGTGAGAAAAAGAAAGAACACCAAAGAGAGCTTGATCTTGAGTTCATTGATGGTGAGAAGTTCTTTAGTGATGATGAGGATTGCTTGGAATCTCCACCTCCTACACCAGGTGAGAAAGAGATCAGCAGCAACAAAAGCAATGGTTCAGAGTCCCAAGACAAGCGCCCAACAAGCATTAAACCATTCACTCTTGGGTCTTCTTCTTCTCAAGTCTTAGCTCTCACTCCATGGAAGTTTGATGGTGGAGCTGTGGAATACAAAGTTAAAGGCAATGTGAGATCAAGACCATTTGCCAAAGTCAGAGCTATCCTCACACAAGAACTCATAGACAAGGGATCTGGTGGTGTCCAAGAGCTGATGAACAAGGACCTCATGCTTGAATTCATGGACATGACAAGGAGCATCAAAGCTCCTCCTCTCCCTCATTAAGAAAGGTTTTACAAAGTCAAACTTAGTGACTTTAAACAAAGTGCTCTTGGGAGACACCCCAAGCTTATCCTTGTATATAGTCTTTTTAATCTTTTCTTTAGTATTTTCAGAACGTTTTGATGGGTTTGCTAAGTGATCTCAGATTCTAGAAAGCGTTCTTGCTCAATGGTTTGAAGGAACAAGTGCAGAGAGGAGCTTAAAGGTGGCGGCCTTATGATTCAAAGGAGCAGTGAACCCGACACCTCGGCCAAGCACCTCGACATGATCATTACCGAGGTCTCATGTTTGATCTTCACGGAATAAAGTGCTGTGAGAAGCCTTGGAGAGCCAAAGCCGAGGTGTTCTTGAGCTAATACCGAGGTGCCCTTGCTACTTACACAGAAACTTGTCCACCTCGGTATAGAAGCCTCGGCATGGCTAGGCAGAGGGGTCCCTGAACGAGCATGAACAAAAAGGGACGCTTGAGAGACTTGAATCCAAGCAGAGGGTTCAAAGCACCAGCATCCTCCTCCATGTCCAATGCCTCCATTCTATCATGAACAAGTCTGGTAACTCTCCAAACTAATGGTACATATGCATCTAGTTCTTAATTTTTCATTTTGCATTTTTCTTGCTTTTTCCTTTCACTTCTCTCTTATGCTTTTATAACACAGAGGACTGTGTTATTTAAGTGTGGGGGAGGAGTTTAGTGTTTACTAATCATGTTTTCTTTGATCTTATTTTCCACTTTGAGTCTTGAATCTCATGTAGTTGCATCTAATCAGAAAATTTTCACAAAAAAATGTTCATTCTAGTTGCATTCACATTTTTAGGATCGAGTCTAGTTGCATCATATAGGTTGCATCTTGCTGGGAGTAATGATAGGTTTTCTAGAGAGTACATCACTTTGAGAACTTGAACTGAATATGCTTGTGAATCTTTTTCTGTGCTTGCAAAGTCTGAAACGATTTGAATCTAAGAAGCAAGTTTGAATTGAACTCAACTCTAGCTAAGTGATAACCCTGAACTTGAAATGTAAATATCTTTTGATGCATTGCTTGAATAGGCTTGTGGATACCGACATACATACTTGAGCTAGAATCGTTGCTTTTACCACCCTCCTTCCTTAGCTCAAGTAGCTGAATCCGCATCATGGATCAGTTCCCTCACCTTGAACCCATCTTTCTTTCGAGCCAATGTTCGTGTGTGAATTGTAAGGCCACCTTGGACTGAACTTGGCAGAAAGTGTTAGGTTTAGAGCGACAAGGGCTTGGCTCATTGAGTGATATGTTCCAACATCAAGGAACCAAGAGTATTGGTGAGAAATAAGTGTGGGGGAAAAGACTTGTTGGTGAGTGGAAAAAGGTGAGCTGAGTGGAAAAGTGAGAGTGGAAATAGCTAGGGGAATGAATGAAAATGAATTAAGTCTTGGATGTGAAAAGATAAGCTCTGAAATGAAAAGAAGCCAAAGGCTCAAGTGTCTAAAAGAGGCTATATGCTATGAAAGAAAAGAGCTGTGTGAATAAGTGAAAACCAAGGCTTGAAAATGAAAGAAAAAGGCGAGTCCCCTAGTGAAAAGAAAACGATTGTGAAGAGTGAGGATTCTGAGAGGGTGAGCAAGTGAGAAACGCTTTGAGTGGAGTGTGGGGTGTGATGAGTCTTGCCCTTGTATGCATCGGTTGCTTTTTACCTTTAGCATTCTGCCGAAGTTTGGTCGTTCATAGAGAGATCCTTGTTGCATTGCACCCGCTTGAATATTGATGAGATCATTTTTATCTCATGACCTTACCCTAGCCAAGCCAGCCTATTTGAACATTGCATCATTTGATTCACCTGATAAAAGCTTATTGAATGTGAAAGAGTTGAGAGAGAGGAGAACTTGTGGAGATTCCTTGTTGAGTTGATATATATCTGAGTATGGCTTTGCATTGCATAATTGAGCATGAACTTGAATTCTCATTGTGATCACTTCTCTCTAAAAGGAAATATGAACTCCCAATGCATTCAACCTCTCTCTCTCATGTGTTCTTTTTGCTTGAGGACAAGCAAAGGATAAGTGTGGGGGAGTTGATATATTCATAAATTGCATCATTATGTGTACATATTTTAGTCCAAATCATGTCTTATCTCATGCATTTTAGGTCTTTAAGCATTGTTTTAGGACTTAGGAGATTACATTAGGTCCAAGAGAGTTTTGCATGTTTTGGAGTGTTAAACAGTGCTTTTGGAGCCAATTTGGAGTGGAGGATGTGATTCAGATGAAGAAATGGAGTTGGAATGATCAAAAATGGTAAAAAGGAGCAATTTTGGGTTTCTCGGCAAAATGCTGTACTGAAAGTCGAAGATCCTCGGCCAAAATCCTTCTCGCGGGTAGCTTTCTCGGCCAAAAACACGTACCGCGGTCAAGTCTCTCGGCCAAAAATCTCGGGTGCAGATACATTTCCAAAATCGCGTCACCGGAAGATCTTGCCGGCCGATTCAGCTGTCGGAGTCTTCATAAAAGTTGGAGATAACTGAGTCAAGAGTTCAGAACAGTTGGAATCAAAGCATTTGGCCCACGTATCTGAAAGATATGGTAATCTGAAGACAGACCTCTCTCGCATCCATTCCGGAGCAATCCGATACTCCTGAATGATCGCCTGTCCGGGGAACCTTCCGGTCCGATTCAGTTGTCGGGGGCTTCATCAAAGTTGGAGACGATTAGATCATGGTTCCATAGCAAGTGGAATAATGGAATTCGGACGCGTGAGCAGAAAGTTGAGCTCGTCGGAAGAAACCCCTGTCTCGCTGCCGTCTTGGACCGACCCGATGAGCTCCGAAGAATGCAAAGGACGGCGCACTTCCAGGCAGATTAAGTTTCCGGGGTCTTCATAAGAATCAGAGATATTTGAGTCCTCTTTCCAGAACGTCCGAGATAATTCAATTCGGATCTATGAGCAAGAAGTTACCGTTTCCGGAATGGACACATGTCTAGACGCCTCTCTCTGATCGTGTAAATGTACTGCGGAGATGAGCCCTCCAGGAAGCCTTCCACTTCCCAAGCGCCGATAGTTTCTTCACCAAAGATTGAGCTGAATGAGTTATATTTCTCATGGAACTGGTTTTAGGTCATTTGGAGTTATGAGCTGAAAGTTACACTGAACAGAAGAGAAGCTGGTCAATTCGGGTTTTAAGAGATGCGACTGTAAGCTAAGTGTTGTGTCCTACCTCGGCGTGAATACCTCGGCATGTATGCCGAGGAGGCATTTTTACGAAGCCTTGGGACTATACCTCGAGGTAGGACATCGTTCTTTCAACACCAAGGCTCCCTTGATCACCAAAATGATCACAAAACGACTAAGTGTTGAAGCAGACCTTGGCGTGAACCCTTCAGCATGTTATGCCGAGCTCCTATGTTACACAAACCTCGGCTATCCAGCCCCTCGGCATGTTATGCCGAGGTCCTCATCTCTCCAACCCAGATCACAAACAAAACCTCTTCACGTTTCAAAGCTTTAACCGGATCAAAGGCCAAGTCTCATGCATGTTCTTCAAGTGTTCATCAAAGTTTCAACCCAGCACATGACCCCCTGGTGTATGGCCCTCGGTGTGAGACTTCTTCAGATGGCGAGGGGTGGCTCCAGCAACCCAGAAAGGGCGGGTCAGTACCCAGTTTGTCCTGGGCTGACCCGGCCCACACCCTTTTATATAAATAGTTTTTAGAGACTAAAACCCTAGTTATCCATTATCTTATCCTTTATCTTAGTTTCTCTTTGGTTTCTCTTTCCTTATCTGTGTAAAACCGACGTGATTAAGAGATATCTAAGAGATTTCATTATCTTAAAGCTGTTTCTTATCATTTCATCATCCGATCTCAACTTCTAATCATGATTAACATCACCTCTTGCAAAGGAAATGGTGTGTTAATCATGATTAGTGAGTAGTTATCTTTTAAGCTTCTAGGTGTGTAGATTAGGGTGCTTAGATGATCGGTTTATGATGTTTAGGTTCTAGATTCTCATCTCCTTTCCTTAGTTAGCTGCTCTTAATGCTAGATCTTTGCACATCACTCTGATCTAGACCTTAGTCATTTCTCCACCCACAAGGTGTTTGATGAAATGTCTGAATGAGCTAGGCTAAGGGTTTATGCCTTTTTCATCATGGGAATGATTTGTTAAATGCATGAATGACATATTAGAACTGTTTCTTAATGCTCACTGATTCATATTTCACAAATGATGATTTGGTTTGAAAGTGGATTAGGGTAGAGATTAATGCCTTCATGAGAGGATTAGTCTAGATTTGAGTTTTAAGTTAATTGGTTTTGAGATCATGTGATTGCTTGTTGCTGCTTTCTGTGTAAGATTCGGTCTCTTTGAAATAGAAACCGTTTGGTCATTATTAGATTTGATACTTTATGCTTGTTGATTGCTTGATCTTGCTTAAGGTGAATTAATCTTGATTAAGTGATTTACAAAGAGATTATTGTCATGGGAATGAATTAATCTGCTTTTGAAGTCTAGACTAAAGAGTAACTTGCATTGCATTATTGTTCTTAGCATCATGAATAAATCTCTAAAGCACCCTAATCAATGATCACATCTAGAGGTTTAGCTTTCTCTTTGTTTTGAATCTGAGTCTTTGTTTTGTTGTCTTGTTGCTTGTTCTTAAATTACTGCTTGTTTTTTGTTTGTTTTATGTTTTAGATCACCTTGTTACCAATTCATCTGCTTGTTAGACTTGAATTAAGATAGCTCCTCATAGTTCTAGTGTCTAGAATCTCTCCATTTGGATTGATACCTCAAGT